TGCCTGTGCTTACCTTGCTCCCGAAGACCTGGTCCCTCTTGCTCCCAAAGACCTGGTCCCTCTCGGTAGGGTAACAAGGGAAACGTGTTCAGTGCAGATCAGTGAGTAAGCACAAGCCCGCCTTGTTTCAGTGCCTTATACTTTAGAACTTCACTATTAGTTACCTTGATATTTCATGACTTTCAGAGATGTGGCATGTGAGCATTGATTGTTTTATTCAACAAGCTAGGTGTGAGATGTTTTGTTTATGCTTTGCCCACTTGGAGGAACAGCAGTTAACCACTGCTTCATAATTCTTGAATACGATTTTAAGTTATCTTATTGTCTGATAACCTCCCAAAGGATGTGTTAAAAGTTAGATTCTAGATTTGGTTTTCATCTTTTCACCTTATTGGTCAGTTTCAGCTGAATTCTGTGGTAACTGTAGGTTCTGTTTCACTGCTTATGCTTCAAGTACTTCAACATCGATTGCTGTTTTCAGTAGATTTTCTATATATATTAGAGGAAAATATAGAAAATTTCCTCTGATATTCAAACTGTCACCTTTGACTCTTTACTCAAATCTTATTTCATGTCTGGAACTTCTTAGCATCTCTTCTTGGCTATTCTACCTTCTTCTAATACTTTAGAATATATCTTGATATTCACCTCTCACAAAGCCCATCTAAAGCTGTCTTCATTGAGTGAAAAACAACAGATACACTTATGTGGAGATATATAAATAGGTATTCTTTTTTATTCTACATTTTGTGCGTGTTGTTCTGTTTAGTTTATTAATTTAGTATGCATTTTTCTGCTCACTAAATTGAAGGCAACTTAGTAACAGGGACATGATCTAACCAACAGCTCATAAACCTCATAGAGATGATATATCCCTTGCAGACCTTAACTACAAGTATATTTGATATATTGGCATCTACTATTGGTCTCTGCGATATTCTCTACTAAAGTAGTTGAACATAGAAAGAAAAAGTATCCAAAACTGCTTTCTGTGTATTTCCTATAGCAAAATCATGTACTGTCTAGCTTTGTGACAAACTTTTTGATATTTTGAAGGAGATGGAAGAGTTATAAGTCCTTCGCCTCGTTATAAGTCATCATGCATCTCATCCACAACAAACGTGACAGAACTATGTGGTCTGGAAATGAAAACTGCCACGAGCTCCTTATCAGCATTTGGAGATTCTTCCATGATTCAGACACCTTCAAAGTCCAGAATCCGGCACGGCTGTCATAGTGCTGGCCCAAATGTTTCTGGTAATGAGGGACTATCATCTCAGTTATAAGAGCATTAAAATTTAGCATGAGGAGTCAGGCTTATAAAGGGTTAATGATAGCGCTGGAGTAGTTCTGTACTTTCAAGCAGTCTGTAAGGCAAGGGAAAAATTATTTAGTATGCACAGAATACATCTTTTTAGGTTTCAGGAGGAAAGCAACAAACTCAAATTCAGTAAAGAATTTCATATATGTAGAGCTATGGAAACACATGGGGTCTCCATGAGTCGGAATTGACTCAATGGCACTAACATCAACAACAACAACATGGAAACTGTACTTTCTAGCAAAGAGACTTGTAGATGCCAATGTTTTCCAAATACAAGGTGACTTTAGTTTCAAGGTTTTTAAGGTTTTTCTTAATCAAGTAATTTGTATATCATTTTCAATAGGTGATCATGTTAATCTGATAAGCTCATCAATGCCATCATTTCCCATTCTCCAACGTTCTTCTGAAGAGAAAATTCTTTACTCAGACCGGTTGACCTTAGAAAGGTGAGGACGATTTATTTTATTTAATTTTTCAAAATGGATAATGTATATAGATCCCCATCTTTACAACTAGGAAGATATCAGCAATAGAATGTTGGATGAAGGATCTTAACTCCTACTGTAGTGGTATAACCAGCAGAGAAAACATCTCTGTTGTGCATACCTTTAGCTTTGCAGTGCACACCTGATAGCAAATGTCATGGGCTATCTTTGTTTATAGCTGGGAAAAAGTCTCTGGAGGTACAGCATGTTGCTTTGGGCAAAGTCACACTTAAGGGCACTATCTGTTGTGGCATCTTTGCAGTATTATTGATTTTTGAGATTCTAACACTGTCTAATATTTATAACTTTCATTATTTTTTAATGTTTGGAGGGATTTTGACAATTCTTATCTCAGTTTTTAAAACTGCAGTCAAGAATAATACTTTAGCCCTTTAGTTTCATGTTTCTTGATACGAACAGAAACCAATGTTTGTAAGACTATGATATACTTAGGCTCTTCTGTTCTAGCTTTAGGTGATGCAAGTAATTGCAGAAGATGGGTCTTTGGCAGCATAGGCTCTGAGGTAGAGAAGAAAACTTGCGTACGGTGAAGACTTGCTTAGTGAGGACAGTTAGGATGAAGGGAACTGGGTTCAAAGACTGCTTATGAAATGGCAAGATCACAAAGATGTCATAAGTTGGACATAATTTGATCAGTACTAGCATGTCTAGTGGAGAGAGTTGGGCTAGCAGCAAGAAACTTGGGGATCATTATTTGAGAGCCTGTGGGTGATGGCTACTGATTTTCAAAAGCAGATCTGCCCTGCTATGTAGCTCCTTAGCCAGCAGACTGAAGGAGTAAGACTAGAATCCAGCCCTGAGATAAAACACTTGGAAGAACTAGGCTCTGGCTGTTCTGGGAGTTTAGGGTAGGGCTGGAGTACAGGAAGTCTGTCTATCAGCATCAAGAAGGAAATACAGAAGTAAGAATATAGTCCAACAGACCTGTCAGTAATAGGATAGGAGATGTAGCAACTCAAGGGTTTTGTAGACATAATGAACTCCTGGAGGGCACTGAGTCATGGGTTTTGATATTGGTTTGTTTGCTTGTTTTACTGGCGTTGCAGGGATTCGTGGGTTAAGGAGTGTGCAAGTGAGCTTTAGAGTTGGGACTTAGCCACTGTATCAAGAATATGAGAAAAAGCATTTATTTCAAGTTGCAGTAGGTTTTGTAGGGGGCAATTACTTTGAATGTTTTCTAATGTTAAATCAATTTTATATGAAGTAATTAATATTATTTTTTAGTATAATAAAGCTTATACTTTATATTAATATTGCCTTTTAAAAGTCAATAGGCTGTTATATGAATGATTTACAATTAGATGTAGGTGGCTTAGGAACTGTCATGGCACAGTGGTTAAAGCATTCAGCTGCTAACCAGAAGGTTGGCGGTTAAACCCTCCAGCCATTCCATGGGAGAAATCTGAGGCAGTCTGCTTCCATAAAGATATATAGGCTTGGAAACCCTATGGGGCAGTACTACTCTGTCCTATAGAGTCACTATGAGTCAAAATTCACTCAATGACAGGGGTTTTTTTTGGTTGTAAGATGCTTAGTTCAAGAGGGCTGGAATTGGTAGGACTCATCATTTTCTCTTCACAGTATAGGAGCACAAAGACACTAGTAATAATTTTTATGGGAGGAGGCAGGCTGCCAAGTAAGAATCTTATTAATTTTTGAACATTTTTTCTAGGCAAAAGCTGACAGTATGTCCTATCATCGATGGGGAAGAGCACCTTCGTTTGTTGAACTTTCAACACAATTTTATAACTCGGATCCAAAATATTTCTAATCTGCAGAGGCTAATATTCTTGGATCTATACGACAACCAGATTGAAGAAATTAGTGGGCTTTCTACTCTGAGATCCCTCCGTGTCCTTCTTTTGGGGAAGAACAGGTAATCTTTGTAGAGGAGGTTGTTTGTAGTGTATGCTTAGCACTAATATTGAGTCCTACAGGGTGTAGATGGCAACTCAGAAATGAAGAATACTTATGAAACTAATAGAATAAAATTTTTGAAAGGTTATTGGAATGAGTTAGATGTTGTAATAATTTGTTTCATGAGACTTAACCTGACAGTCAAATCGGATAACATTTATTTGTTTTATTATTTCCAAGGTTTTCCAGTGCTGTACGTTATATAGAAGTAAACAGCAGACTTTACCCTTAACTTTATGTTTTCTTAGGCCATATTTTAGGTATGTGTTTCACTTGTAATTCTTCTCAGTACTTGATTGAGGATAGACATTCACTTTTTGTGATTGATTGTCAAATTGATTGATTTGTATTCAGATGGCAGTTTCAATGTGTATTTAAAATTATGTCCTGTATGAACTTCCCGAGCTCCTTATATAAATGCTCTTTCAGGGAGTACAGCTACACAATTCCTTCATGACTTTTCTGTTGGAGGTTTAAAGGATATATAGTTAGAGAACAATAAAAAATAACTAGAATAAGATTGTTAGGTTAGTTGCAAAATGGATTCATGTCCTACAAAGTAGTAAAATTATAATTTTGGGGTTATTTATTTTTATTGGACAGAAATAAATTCTGTTTCCGCCTGACAATTATGATGACGGCTAATCATTTTTCTACAAGTTAGCATCTATCTTTACAGAGTCTGGACCCTAATCAGTAGTAAATAGTCAAATGATCCCTAGATAGGCTTATTGACAATACTCTGGTATGACATTGAAAGGATTTGCAGTAATCACTTTGCCTTAGTTCCAAGTTTGGGATAGTTTATTTTTTAAAACTAGGTGGCTCCTTCTGTGCTTGCATATCATAATTTTACAAAATTGATTTTTACAATGTATGTTTTTCATTTAAATGTTCTATCATGTATGTTTTGCCATGTCATTAAATGTTCTTTGAAAATGTGACTTTTAAGGGCTGCATAATATTCCCAATGTGGGTATGAGTGTGTGTATAATCCTTTCATATTTGTTAGATGTTTACATTGTTTTATTTTTTTTGCTATGATCTATGATACTGTTATGATGAATATTCATGTTCATAAATGAACTGTATCTTAGAATAAGCTTTTATCTGCTCTGTAAAGTAGGAAAATTTAGCCTGTTAAAACTCATGTGAGAAGAGAATTGAGGTTGATAAGAAGGTCTGTTTTCTAGGGCAGCAGTTCTCAAAGTGTGATCCCTAGACCAGCAGCATCAGCATCAGTAGAAACTTGTTAGAAATGCACATTTCTTGGCTCCATCCCAGAAACTCTGGAAGTGAGGTTCAAAAATCTGTGTTTTAACAAGTCTTCTGGGTTTGAGAACCATTGTTATATGGAATGTGCGGTTGGGAGTATATAAGAATTGAATAACATTTCACCTCCCTGGAATGGTTATTATTAAAAAAAACCAAAATAAGAAAGAAAGAAAATAACAAACATTGGTGAGGATGTGGGGAACCCTCATCCATTATTAGTGGAAATGTTAAATGATGCAGCTGCTGCGGAACATGATATAGCAGTTTCTCAAGAAGTTTAATATAGAATTAGCATATGCCTTAGCAATTCCACTCATAGGTATATACCTCTAGGAATTGAAAGCAGAGACTCAAACCAACAGTTTTACACCAATGTAAATTGCAGCACTATTCATAATAGCCAAAAGGTGGAAACAGCCTTAATGTTCATCAGCAGATAAGGGAATAAACAAAATTTGGTATATACGTGCAATGGATTATTATTTGGCCGTAAAGAGAAATGAAGTCTTGATACATTCCACCACATAGATGAAACCTGAGAACATTATGCTAAATGAAATAAGCCAGACACCAAAGGTCGAACGTTGTATGATCCCACTTATATAAGATAGCTAGAATAGGCAAATGCATAGAGATAGAAAGTGGTCACCAGGGGCTAGAGGGAGAGAGGAGATATTGCTGAAATGGCCCAGAGTTTCTGTTTGTACCAAACAGTTTTGGACATAGTGGTGATGTTTGAATATAATGCCACTGAATTGCACAGTTAAAAACGGTTTAAAGGGCAAATTTTATGTCATATATATTTTATCACATTAAAAAACAATTGAATTAAACTTTCTCTAATGGTTGTTAAGGAGCTCTGGTGGCGTAGTGGTTAAAGCATTTGGCTGCTAATGAAAAGGTCAGTGGTTCGAACACACGAGTTGCCACGGGACAATGATGAGAAAGTCTGTTTCCCTAAAGATTTACAACTTTGAAAACCCTATGGGCAGTTCTATTCTGTTTTATAGGGTCACTATAGGATCATTATGAGTCAGAATTGACTTAATGGCAGTGAGTTTGGTTTTAATGACTGTGAGGTCAGATGAATACTAGAAAGCACGGGTTTGTCCTAAGCCATATTATTAGGTACTGAGCTCTGGTAGCATAGTGGCTAAGGCACTTGACTGCTAACCAGAAGGCTGGCGGTTCAAACCCACCAGCCACTCCTCAGAAGGAAGGTTGGGCAATCTACTTCCATAGTAATACTGCCTCAGAAACCCAAGGAGGGGTCACTATGAGTCAGGTCCAACTCGACGGCACATACCAACAACATGTTTTCTTCCAGCTGTTATAAGTGTCTCAGGAACAAAGCAGACAGAGGAATAACTCTGTTGAATGTTTTGTCTTTTCCTAACTGGGTTGGCTGTTAGTGAAATTTAAGTCATAGATACTATAGTATTAAATGTATGGCTCCGGAAAAATGGTAATGAAAGATTTCAATGAGGCCAGAAGGATGCTAATGGTTCAGATGAAATGATTGGAATATTCGGGAGTGTTGTAGGAAAAGAACAGACTCTGCCAGTTGATGTATGGGAGAGGAGACTGATGAAGAGGTTGGGGCCATAAGGGAGAGAAGAACTACAAGCACTCTGTGCTGATACATGTTGTTGTTGTTGTTGTGTGCCGTCGAGTCGGCCCCGACTCATAGCGACCCCTCCTTGGGTTTCCGAGGCAGTATCACTACGGAAGTAGGATTGCCCAACCTTCCTTCCGAGGAGTGGCTGGTGGGTTTGAACCGCCAGCCGTCTGGTTAGCAGGCAAGTGTCTTAGCCACTATGCTACCAGAGCTCCCGTGCTGATACATAGTGGGTGTATAATAAAAATTTTTATAAATTACATTGAATTCAATTGCTTTGTGGTGGTGTAATTCTAGATTTGGCAATGATATAAGATGACTTAGGTCAAGTGGAGATAAGATTCATGGAGTTTAAGTTTGAAATATGATTACAGGTGATCAGCATATATATGAAGTTTTGAGGGATGAACAAGACTCTGAAAACATTTGGGAGTGTTGAAATGATCTTCTGAGGCAGTTAACAATGACCACAGACATAGTGATAGGCAGATGGGGATAAAGATAGATGGCATGAACTCAGTTTTTATCCCTTTTTTTTTTTTACCATAACATTCTTCTTCCTACTACATATGGTAATAGGAGAAAGTGGGATCTATAGGAGGGAGAACAATAAAAGTACATTTTTTTGTTTGTTTGTTTGTTTTACTTTGTTTTTTGCCAGATGAATTCAGTTTGAAGCAGTTAGGTTGAAAGATTTGAACATGTAAGCTAGGCATAGAATGTAGGAATGAGGGAGACAATGAGTTAGGCCTTCTCAGCTTATTTAAAAGGGGGCATTTAATGTATCTAAATATTTGATAGCAAGTTATACTTTCTCACAAGGTAGTAAATCAAAAGTTACAAGTACACATTAAAGCATTTCATAAACTAAGGAGATCCAGTAGAAAGCATTTAGGTGATTCTGATTTATCTCTATGATAAATCATCCTGTTTTGAATACTCCTATATGTAAAATTCATCCATTTACCTAGTTTGCTCATTCATTCATTAAATATTTATTGGGTGCTTATTAGGTGGAAGACATTATTATGGGTACTGGGAGTGTTGTTGTCAGGTACTGGCAAGTCAGTTCTGACTCATAGTGACCCCACGTAAAACAGAATGAAACACTGACAGGTCCTGCGCCATCCTCACAATTGTTGCTATACTTGAGCCCATTGTTGGAGCAGCTGTGTCAATCTATTGCGATGAGAGTCTTCCTCTTTTTCATTGACCCTGTACTCTGGTGGCATAGTGCCTAAGGCATATGACTGCTAACCAGAAGGCTAGTGGTTCAAATCCACCAGCCACTCCTTGGAAGGAAGACTGGGCAATCAATCTACTTCTGTAAAGATACCACCTCAGAAACCCAAGGAGGGGTCGCCATGAGTTGGAATCAATTTGATGGCAGTGAGTTTGGTTTGGTTTTTGGTACTTTTCCAACCATGATTTCTTTCTCCAGGGACTGGTCCTTCCTGATAACATGTCCAAAGTACATGAGACAAAGTCTTGCCATTCTCCCTTTTGCTGTATTCTTTCAAGACAGATTTATTCATTCCTTTGGCAGTCTGTGTGTATTCCATATTCTTCACCAACATCATGATTCAAATGCATTGATTCCTCTTCAGTCTTCCTTATTCATTGTCCAGCTTTGGCATGCATATGAGTTGATTAAAAATACCATGGCTTGAGTTAGGCATACCTTAGTCCTCAAAGTGACATCTTTGCTTTTTAACACTTTAAAATGGAATTTTCAATGGTCCTGTAAGTTTATGTGAATGATCAGAATTCCCAGGTGTATAGTAGAGCTGACAAGGGACAAGCTTGGTCACAACCAGCTACCCAGAGGGATCTAGTAGTTGAACCTGCGGGCTTGGGATCATAGTCGCAGGGGACATCAAGCTCAATTGGCATAACATACTATACAAAACATTGTTCCACGTCCTACTTTGGCGAGTAGTGACTGGGATCTTAAAAGCTAGCAAGCTGCCATCTAGATGCAACGATGGGTCTCTCCTCTTCCAGAGCAAAGAAGAATGAAGAAAACCAAAATTCATAAAATGGTCTTTTGTAGCAGATTTGCCCAA